TGGATTTTTTTTCCACATAGAAGTGAGAGTCTTTAAAAAACCTGTCTTGTAACACATTGTTCACTCTTGGCCAGATCCTGATGAAAAGCAGGCCAGATAGCAACCAAATATTTAAAAATATGTAAAAATATCACTTTTAGCTCCTCTTAGCAGTGCCCGTGTTTTTCAGAGCAAACCTCTGCTAACTATACTTTGGCTCTGAAATCAGATCACTTTGGTAAAAATAGAAATGGATGATTCTTTACTTCATGAAGCAAGACAAATTATGCTTTGGGAGAAAATAATTTGCTATAAAGTATAAAATGTTTTAATATTTATATCTCATAATAAAACCATGACATGTTTATAAACACGCTATCAAGCATTTTACAAGGGGGCCACCGCTGACAACTAGAAACGCAATAAATATGCACAGACACACTGAGTATGAAATATACATCTTGATTTTATAATTGTGTGTGCTTTATTTTTTACACAAATGGAATGGAAGTGTCGAATATTTACACTTAACAGGAGTGTAAGCTGTGCAGTGTCTCTGTAAACTCCAGCCCAGGCAAGGAGTATTTCCCCCTCCCTCCCATCCTGCACTACAGCTCGATGGAGAAACGTCCTGTCAGAGAGAAGCACAAAACTGTCATATTGAAAGGATCTAACGGGTACAGCCTGGTGCACTCAGAATTTAAGACACACTTAGGAAACACAAATTCAAAAAGGAGAGAAGAAAAGTTTGCCATCCCATTGGGAGTCAACCTTGCCAGTGGGTTGTCTGTCCTCATGAGTTGCTAGGGAGATTCTGTATTCTTTTAGGTGATCTTTATCAAAATCATCCACCTGTCTTAGCTTGTCCTCAGCTGCTACAAGAAACTGCACAGCTGTACAAGAAATGATTTCTAAAGCACAGTTTTCAGTGAGGAAGGATATTTACAGACTGGAGTGTGTGTGTGGGTTTCCATCCATATTCATTCATACCCAGTATAGTATGTATATACACGATATACATACCACATAGACCATACATACACAGAAGTAAAATGCATATCCACAGAATTCTGTAGGGAGATCTCTGGCAAATCAGTTGTCAGTATGTCACTCCACATGCTTTCAGAGAAATGTCCCCTTCTCCCCCTAGGAGTGACAAATTACCATGATTAGCTTAGGAACTAGCCTGAGTCCTTGACTTGAATACTTTTGTAGGAATTTAGGCAGGACCAAGACAGGAAAAAAAGAGATGTTATTTCACCAGCGAGTCCATTCGATCTCACCAGAGCAGTCACCAGCTGAAAAGCAGAGGGGGCTTCACATGAAAATGGGGGGGGGGGGAAGCTTATGAGAGGGAAAAAAATGTCTCTCTCCAAACCAAGGCGATGGCATGGCTTCAATGAGAAGAAAGAGGTTTGCTGTCAGAATGATTTTGGGGCCAGAGTCTGCCTTTATAGAGAGGAACTGTCCTCAGAGCCACGGGGTGGTGCTGGGAGTGGGCTCCCTTTGGAGCAGCCTTCAGGCAGAGAGGCACCCAGGTGCCGCAGGGCCCAGAGCGCATGCATCCTCGCTGCCAGGGCAGCGGTGCAGGCTGGCTCGGTGAGGCGAGCTGGAGCTGGCTCCAGCCCAGGACCTCATGCTCAGCTTTGCTTTCTGGGCTGTGCAAGTGAAACGGTGACCCACAGGAATTGTGTCATCGGTCCAGTGTATGGACTTGCTGTCCGAATCAGCCATGAGCCCTTATAGGACAGAAAAATTACGGAGCCGAGTATGCGTGAGAAGATACTCAGAGGTGGGAGAAGAAGACAAAAGGCAGGAAAGCAGGGGAAAGGGGAATGAGAAGGGGGAAGAGAGACTAAAGGAGGTAGAGAGATAGGAGAGTGAAGGGGAGGGAGTAACAAGAGACTGCAGAAGAAAGGCAGCTCTTGGGGAAGACAGGTCAGTAGCAGAAAAGGAGAGGTGCACACAAAGAGAGAAGGAATGAGACAGAAATGGAAGGAGGAGAGCAGAGGAAAGGAATGAGGGAAAACCAGAGGCGAGAGCCATAGGAGTGGAGAACTTTTCCCTGGCTCAGAGTCTGGAAGGGCTGGCAGTAGGATCTAAGACAGCTCACAGGCACCTGAGTGCGGCTTAGGCTTCGGCTTTGGCTTCCATAAAAATGGGCTCACTGAGCAGGTGGAGCCAAGCCATGAACTTGGGGCAGTGGGGGTGGGGGTGGGGAAGAGGCCGGCAAAGAAATGGCCAACAGATCCCGTGGGAGGAGAGCAAAAAACAAATGCCCCTGCAATTCGCTGACAAATGCGATTTCGATTTTGGTAAAGCTGAGACCCCCGTGGTGCTACACATTGTACCAGAGCATGAAAAATAGCACCAGTGACACGATCTGGCACTTTTCCGAAAGGGCCCAGCATGTGAAGGTGACATTGCGCCCCCAGCAAGCCTTCAGATTGGAGAGAGCTCCGGACAAAGTTTGCAGTGTTAGCACCGGTCTGGCCCCAGGCTCCAAGTGCATTTGCACCAGATGTAATCTGGGTAACTTTCCTGCCATATCCATACAATCATCAGATTTGCTGCAAAATACACCAGTTCTTTGGAGCCTTCGAGACCTCAACATTGGGAAGCGCAAGACAACACAACAAATGGAGGTGTAAATTCTATAGGAAAAGACCCTCTCACCAATTTGCTTGGTGATTCTTCAAGCAAATATATATGTATATATATATTTATATAAATCTACATAAAAAAATCAGTGCAAATGCCAATTCTAATCTGGAAGCATCTACACTAGGAAAATAAATAATTATATTACTACAAAACCAAGGGTTGGTGGTTCAATTTGATTGTACTCAGCCACAGCAATACTTAATATTAAATGGAAAGCACATCACACGACCCGCGGAAACATCTACTCATTAAGGACAGTCCTTTAAATAAATGGTTGCATGCTCAGTTGAGAAACCAAAGAAGTTATTATGGTGGCCTAAAAATAGAGCTGGGATCAGGAATGGCATTCTGGTGGCAGAAACTTCTGGCAGCAATATTGATGAAACTAGGCCTTGACCTGAAACTGGCGAATTGCAGCCACGGACATATCTTTAAACATTTTGAGCACTCTAAGGAAGTCTCCAAAAATTTAACTTTCATCAGAGGGAAAATGCATTGCTAGCCCTTCCATTGGCAAAGGCAGCCTCAAGACTATAGGTAGGTGCATAATTTTGCATTTTTGTGTTTGTTTTAGTGACTGCAGCGAGGCAGACAATGGTAGTGTAAGATGAGCAACACTTGTTTTTGGAAAGAGACCCTCATTCTGAGCTCCGATGTTCTTACTGTGAAGAAGCCCCATCACTGCTGATGGCTCTATCTCTTGTTCTCCCATCCCAGCCTGCATGCTGGTTTGCTGCACAGTGTGGCAGGATCCCTGCCAGGTCTGGATGTACCCCAGAAATAAGGCGATGGGGCTTAGTCTGGGCATGCATAGAACCCAGAGTTGAGTGGTTATTGAGATCACCAAAAAGTCTCTCTCTAAACACCGTGGGCACAAGCAACACTGATGTCATCATCAGCTCTAAAGTGGGATATAGGCTTCGGGAGGTTTTTTTTTCTTAAATCATCATTATTATAATTGCTAAAAAATAAACTTGGTCCAGGTGCAGCCCCCGAAAAAGGCAGTTCAATTGGTTGAGCTCAAAGTTGTTAATTGTCTTTCCTTGTGGTTCTCTTTGCCCTGTACACGGAAACAAAAGTCTGCACCCCTCACCCCCCAACCAGGTATTTCTCTCTTCCTCAAAGAAATAGTGCTTCTTGGAACAGATCTTTCCATGGCTCGATACCATCTCTGGCTGTTACAAAAACCCTCAGTTACTTGTGAAACAGACAAAAAAAAAAAAAAAAAAAAAAAAGTCCTCATTACTCATGGTTGGCTAACATACCAAATGATCCTTTGAGAATTGCATGTAAGTAACTAGGAACAGTTATTCAACTCTTTGCATGGCAGGCCCAGGTTGTTTAAAAAGATAAAAGCAAAAACTTCTCTTTAGATCATTTGCATGAGTTTGTCTCTGAAAGCCATCAGCTTAGAGATGCATTAACCAAATGTCTTCCAAAAATACCCATGAGGGCAACTCAGTAAGGGATGTGCTCCATGAGAGTGTGTCACTAATATGGAAGGGAGATCATGGGAGGTAAGTGAGGGAGAAGTCTTGGTCAGACTTTGGGAGGAACTCAGATGCTCTTAATGTATCATTGGCAACAAAAGGGAGAGTGCAACTTTCAGTTCTTGAATTTGATCATCTGCTGATAGTGCATTCATTTAGTCTTTCAATTAGTCTTTACAAAATATTTCACAAAACTTTTTTTAACCTATAGAAATTCGTTTCTATACATTTAATATATTTTTATTGTATAAATTATTCTCATCTTTAGTGCCTTCTTTCAGTTTATAAATGGCAAAATAGACAACAAACAATCATAAAGCTAACCTCAGGTGGAATCCCCTCCTTTCAGTGAGGTTCAGTCCTCCATACACTTGTGAATTTTATGAAATGCTCATCTTTGTAGATGTCAAAGAAACTACGCACTTATCCTTCCCTGCTATTATGCCGTCTCCAAAGGGACTCCTTTCCTTTTTCCTTCCTTCTTTCTTTTGTTCGTTAAGAAATCAAAGAGTGTGCATAGTTATAAAATTCGAAGTGTACCAATTACAGATGTGGGTAATGGGAAGGTTGGTGAAGTTCAAGTGCTGGCAACTTTTCTTTAAAGCAAAAAACACAGAGAGCTCAGCAGCTAAATCAGCTCTGGACATCTGCTGGGGTGAGGAGGCTGCCCATCTCTTGGGCAGAAAGCCCGTCAGACGTTCATCCCTATACCTGGCACTTTGAGCAAACCAAAGCCTTCCTGCATACTGCAATGTCTTTTCTGTCCCACCCTGTGGCCCCTCCGTTTCCTTCATGGCTTCACACAGTTTGTGTTGTACATTCATAAGAATTCACATTGACTGCAAAAACATAAATGCAACAAAAACATAAAAGCCTCCAAGTAGTATATTATATATATTTTGTTCTTCTAAATGCTCTTCTGTCATTGTCGGAGGTGCAGTAGCTAATTTATAACTTTTCCTTTGAGGGAATCCAGATGAAAGGCCCAGATTGCTCTTCAATAACAAGCTTGCATTGATTATATATATCTTCTAAGGTGTCTCCTTGGACAATAGCTAGAACAAAAGCAAACACGCTAGAGTTAGGAATCATGCCTTGTTGGTGACGAACAGTCATCAATCACACAGCAGAAGCTCAAACCAGGGACAGACAAACTCATCTGGAAACTTCTATTACCTTGCATTAGTAAGACAAAGTGGGAAATTTACTTAAGCAAGGTCACATCAGTGAGTAAAAGAAAAAAAGTATGCTTTCAATGCATGTCCTAGATCAGATAACAAATTAGTTACACACAGTCTTTCTACCTTCTCCATGTCTGTTTGTGGTCTGGACAATGAATCATTTATATACTGAAATTTTATGGGTGCCTACTGTTGGCCAGATACTGGACTAGGCACTGATCAATTTTCAGATGGAGATCTCCCTGCTTATCAAAGAAATCTGGCCTTTTATTCTGTATACTGTATTAACCTTGGTAGATGCAGAAATTTAGACATTTTAGACACCAAGAAAATAATGAGGTTGTGGAGGCAAATTGAGTTAACCCCTCCAACTCCGAAACCCTTAATGGGAAACCACACTCATTCTCCAAGCAATCTTATAAACTGATATTTTGCCATAACAGGGCTGCTCATGTTGAGAATGCCTTATGTGGGCTACTTATAATAAAACATAAATAAGAGGAAATATAAACAAACTGTTAACCTGTGAATTACCTAAAACCCAAGTCACCTGAAGCAGATTTAAGTATATTTCATAATCTCATTTGAACTAAGTTAGCTTAGATAGATCTCCAAAACATGTCAATACTATCTATAGGACATCAGAGATAATCAATGAATTGCTACTGAGACATAGTTTAGATTTTCAAAAACAACCCTGAGAATATATTGATTACTCTATTTTACTTCCGAGTATGAACCACTGGTCAAAATGTGCATAACTGTGATTTGATGTTTATACCTGGATTTTCTTTTGGGATAAAACATAACCCATACTTTTATTATTGATTGAAATTTTACTCAAGATTACTGGGTTCAACATATTTGGACACCGCTAAGCCATTGGCATTTTCATATTCTGTATAAGGCAAACAGTAAAGCATCTAACTTCTTAAAAGCTAATCCAGGAAGAAATTTCTTCTTTCTAAACCATTCGTTGTAAGGTATTTTCCACACAGTTCGATTACTCTTTGGATTTGACCAGTGTTTCATGAAAGCATGATAGAGTAGAGAACCCAGGATACCAGGGCAAGAAAACCTTTCCCTATTCCCCAAACTTCATGTTTCCAAGGAAATATTTAAAAAGAAAAGCAATGTTTTGCACTGGGCCTTGACGTGGAATTAATGGAAACACAAGGAAGCATCTTGTTCAATTGCTGCTAACGGGAGCCAGACCTCCAGGTCATTGAAGCAGAGAATGGAGCCCTGAGACTGCTTCTCATGAGGCACTGCTTTGGATGTTGCCTAATTGGGTCCTAAAAGTTTCCTCTTCAAGTATTCTGATGATATCAGGGAGATAGTTTAATGTCTAAAATCTTCTCCTTTTTCTTTTCCTTTTTTTAGATTTTTAGAGAGGGAAAGAGGGAGCAGTGACAAAGAGATTTCCAAGCAGGCTCCATGCCCAGCACAGAGCCCAATTCTCAGGACCCTGAGATTTGACCTGAGCCAAAATCAAGAGTGGACACTTAACTGACTGAGTCACCAAGGCACCCCACCTAAAATCTTAATAGTGGGAGACAACTCAGTGCCATCTGTGACTCATGCTTTTGCAGAGGGCCAGTGGGAATCTAGAGCTGGCTGCAGCTAAATCCAGAGAAAACAGAACCCAGAGTTCTGGATCAGATAGGTAAAGCAGAGGGAAATTAGGATTTCTCAAGAGGAATGTTTTAGGGCCCAGATATACCAGGCCCAGAGCCCCCTCTAATGCCAAATGCTAGACAGTTGATCCTTTCTCACAGTACGAGGGTAAATGAACTTACCTGTAAAATATTCTCCAAATTCTTGTTCTAGCTTAATTGCACGATCATAGGTTTTCTTGGCTTGTTCCTCTGTTAGACGCTTATTCATCTCCCTGGGAAAATGAGGGTTTGGTATTAGCACACACACGGAATGTACCAAATCCTGAAAAATTAAAATGTGTGGCAAAAATGAATCCTGCAGGAAGCACAGTGTAGTCTTACTAGCGGCTTCCTAGTCCTTATTTGAGACTCCTCTTTGTTGGAATAATTTCAGCGACAAGGACCCCCTCCCAGAGGGCTCACCCTGGGCAGTCTCTCGGTTCCACACTAGACTGATGTAGAATCTATCTCTTTATGACTTTCAGTCACTGCTCCCTGCTGTCCTCTACAGTCACACAGAGTATGACTAAACTTTCCTCCTTGATAGGCACTAGGATCTTTAAATCAAGTGCTCATTCGTCCCTTGAGGCTACCACTCCTTCAGAATAAATTGCCCTACTTCCTTCGTCTACTCTCATTGGATGTGATTTCCAAATCCTAACCTTCCTGGTTACTCTTCCTTGGACTTTGTCCTAGAATATCTTGACCTCTCTTAAATGTAGGACATAGATTTGGATGAAATCGTCAAGAGGTGGTCAGAGGCAGGGAGAAGAGATGGAGAGAAGGGAGGGGACATCAGAGCCTTTGGTACCTCATCACATCTGAGAGAACCAGACTTGACCATTGGCAGGTCCTGCCCTCACAGAAACCTTTGAGTTCTCCACTCCCCATTCTACCCATGGGCTGCTGTTCATCTTCAGTGTGTAGTGGGAAATATGTGGAATGGAGAAACAGAATGTGCTTTCTGAGAATTATAGAAAATGTGACAGGCCCTTTAGTCATGTGCATTCTGTGGCTCTACAGAATGCACAGATTCTACAAAGGGTGAAGCAAATATCTTTTTTTTTTTTAAGATTTATTTATTTACTTCAGAGAGACAGAAAGAGAGCGAGAGAGAAAGCGATCGAGAGAGAGAGAGAGAGAGAGAGAGAGAGCTAGCACAAGCAGGGGGAGGGCCAGAGGGAGAGAGAGAGGGGAAGCAGACTCCCTGCTGAGCATGGAGCCATCCCGTGACCCTGAGATCATGACCTGATCAGAAACCAAGAGTTTCGGGATCCCTGGGTGGCGCAGCGGTTTAGCGCCTGCCTTTGGCCCAGGGCGTGATCCTGGAGACCCGGGATCAAATCCCACATCAGGCTCCCGGTGCATGGAGCCTGCTTCTCCCTCTGCCTGTGTCTCTGCCCCTCTCTCTATATCTGTGTGACTGTCATAAATAAATAAAAATTAAAAAAAAAATTATTCCTCAAACTTTAAAAAAAAAAAAAAAAGAAACCAAGAGTTTCACGCTTAACCACCTAAGCCACCCAGGTGCCTCGAACTTCATCGAATGCCTCAAATCAAATGGCATTTGAAGGATTGGCTGAGGGAGGTGTGAATAAATAGACACAGAGAGAATGTAACAATCAAACATGCTGGAATCAAAATATTTTCCAATAGATTATAATAAGCAAGTAACCTACATAGTGAACAAGGATAGAGGATCTCAGGAAGAGGCTCCATGTTGATTTGGTTTTTTTGTTGTTCTGATAGGAAAATGGGCTATAAAGGAACTATGCCTGGGACTCTGACTCTGTCCCTTTCTTTCTGTTAGTCTGTCAACTATTGGTGTATATAAGTGCCGCTTAGTCATTTTAAGATTATTTAAATAGAGCCTCAAGAACAAATTGAGTAGGAAGGAAATGGAAAATAACCCAATCTACTGATTCCCAATCAGTGACAGCTTTATCTTCCCATGTGCTCTAGGTGGGAAAATATTTTGCCTACCAAACATCCATACTTACTAAGTAAAAATTATTTTATCTTCATATTTTTTCTTAATCAAAGACGTCTTATTAATCAAAGTGAGAATTCTTGCCTCTTATCATCATATGAATACAAGTGTGGCTGCACTGGGCTGATAAAAGTCTAGCCAAGGGCAAAGGTACTTTGGTTGGCCCACTGGGATGCATCACAGGGGCACACAGAATATTGAAAGCATTGCTGCCTTTACATGCCACTGAGGAAACTAGAGACTGGGGTATGGGAAATGTGGTTTTAGGGCATGTCACTGTGGCCTGAAGTGATAAAGGGACTTGACAGGGTAAAAGAATAAATCTGATGTCAGAACTCAAAGTTTTGGGGGTCTTTTATTTTTTTATTTTTATTATTTTTAAGATATTTTATTCATTTACTCATGAGAGACACACACACAGAGAGAGAGAGAGGTAGAGACATAGGCAGAGGGAGAAGCAGGCCCCATACAAGAGCCTGATGCAGGACTCGATCCTATGACTCCAGGATCACGCCCTGGACTGAAGGCAGGCACTAAGCTGCTGAGCCACCCAGGGATTCCTTAAGGTTCTTTTAAAATCAGTTTTTAGTCAAACTGGGATCCCTGGGTGGTGCAGCAGTTGCCCCTGCCTTTGGCCTGGGGCGCAATCCTGGAGACCTGGGATCGAGTCCCACATCGGGCTCCCTGCATGGACCCTGTGTCTCTGCTTCTCTCTCTCTCTGTGTCTATCATAAATAAATAAATAAAATCTTTTTTTTTTTTAAAAAAAACAGGCTTTCCATTATACCAAGACTTTCTCAAGGGGTTTATTTGGAAAAAAATTAAAAAACTGATGTCCAATATATAAAAAAAAAACCTGATGTCCAATATTAACATGATTTTCAACATGATCTGATGGCTGCAATAGAAAAAAATAGGAATTTCCTGAACTCTTGATGCTGAGATAAACTCCTCCTGCCCTGAGGGATGGTATCTAGGATTCTCTTCCCAAATAGCACAGTCCTAGAAGCTGTGAGTGGATGTCACCCTTGGATACAGAAGATGTTAGGCTAAATCCAGGGATACATTTCATAGAAAGATGGAGTTTTGCTCCAGGTGTCAAGAAATCATGTGATGCTGGATCTTCTTGGACTTCCTTGCTCATGCTCTAGCTTGTGTTCTTTGAATTCCCTTGGCAATTACTGTAGCCATGACTGAATTCCAATTTTATCCTCTGATGTATCATCTATTATATACTTTGTCTCCTTGTCTAATCTGTGAGTTCACTGAAGGCAGAGAGCAGGGTTATGTTCATCAGCATGTGTCACCAGAGTCTGGTTCAAGACTTATTTGTTGAATGAGTAAATGAATGAATGAATGGAAAACTAGATAAAAAAACATAATTATGGTACAGTTGAAGACAAAAGAAAACGTGGGCCACCGCAGGAGCAAGAAGGTAAAATCAGATTGGGGCTGGCAAGAGAGAGACACACAGGAAAGCTTCACACTGCCAAGAGGTGGGGGTGAGCAACAGAGGTCATGCAGTGGCATGCTATAAAAAGAACATCTCTTTTATATACACCCTTGGTTTTATGCTCCTCTGAAGAGCCAGCTATGTATGTGCTAATAAGCTCTGTGGTTTGCTGTGGGTGATGCACTTGTGAAATAATGTGTGTGATGATGTATCAGTGCCTAAATGTGACAGCTGCCATGCTTTTGTTCCAGTTGACCTAGCATTCACTCCTCCCTGGGGAATGGGCAATTCATGCCAGCTTTGCTCCCAAAGTAAAAACCCTTGGAGAAGAGGTAAATGGAAAGTAAACATTCAGCATGTAATAATAAGATCACATTAGTCTGAATGTCACCATTACTGCACTCAAGACTCATGAATATGGCTGCAGCAAATTATGTCAGATTCACGGTCCTCATTGTGGAATCCAGCCTTCGGTATGTTTAATTTTCCTTGGTGATAAGTGGCTGTGACAGCGCCCCAAGGCAAAACTAAATAAGTCATCTCATAGTTGTGGAAGGAAGTAGACCCTTCTCCTACCGAACACCAGATGGAATGTCTCCCAATATCACACTGAAGCAAATGTGAAACTGCTGTTTCTCCCTCAGGCCTCACTTCCCTGGGAAGCCATTTATCCCACCGAGTATTTATGATGTGAAACCTTATTCTTCTATTTCTGAAACAGGCCTTTAAGATGCTGTTCCCAGGAGGTGCTGTTCCCATTTTTCTATTCTTCTTCATGTTAGCATTGCTAATAACATTTATGAGGCTCTTTACAGATTATAAATCACTTTTGCATAATGAAATTTATGGTTGCTTAATTTACTTTGTGCACTACCCAACACCGTATCCTATATGAGGAGAGATTTAAAGCATGCTATCAGGGATAATAATATCAGGAACCAGTATTTTATCATCAATTCATATTTCTCCATGGGCTAACCATGGGCAAAACTCTTGATGTTATAATTTAACATCTAAAAACCTAAAATCTTGGGGTGGAAAGTACTGTCAGTGACCTCTCGATTTTATTTTTTCATCCTAGTAAGAACCTTTGTCCATCTTTTATTTATGGGAATGGATTCTGCTTTTAAGACACCTCTCTGGCAATTTCCCCAGAGACTGTGTAACTTAATTCTTTTAGGTTGCAACTCTTTAGCTACTGCAGCTTGCTCTATTTCTCCACTCATACAGAAGATGTGGAACAGTTGGCTGATACCTCTGCAAGTAATTGTTTCACCTCTGGGATTAAGCAATTTCCTTTTCTTTGGTTTTCCCATGCACACTATTTTCCAGTTCTCTGGAGTTCACTTCTGCACCCTGTCAAATGCTCTAAATCTCAAGGCCCAAATGGAGGCACATTTTAGCAAAGCTCTTATAATAGACACACTGGCATTATCTCTTGTGACCTCTTGGAAAAGGTAGTTTTTGTGTTTTGTAATGATAAAATAGTTTTACTCCTTTAACAATGAAGTAACTTGAAATTTTTTACAGTTATAGTAGCTACTACTTATTGAGTGTTTATATATGCTAAAGACCATATGGGGAGCTTTGTATTCGTGATCATGTTTAACCTTTATACCAGCTGGGAGGTATGTATTATTAATGTGCCTAGTTTCGAGGAGAGGAACTAAATCTTAGGGCTGTCAAATAACTTGCCTGAGGTGACATACTGATCAGAGGCAAAGAGAAAAACCAAATCTAGCCCAACTGGTTTTCAAGTGCCTGCTATAGCCTCTTTGGTCTGCTGCCCTTTTGGCTACTGTAGCCTCATGTTTGTATGGGAGTTGTCTAGAAAGCAATGTCAACAATTTCTATCAAACTGCCACTGAAAATGTGTTACTTTATAGACTGGTTGTAAATATTTGCCCAATTTGTTTAATGAATTTGAAGGAAGATATTTTCCCAGCCCTCTGAAAAAAAAAAAAAAAAGAACAACAAAAAATCCAAGTTTTTGCCTTATTCATAAATGTGCACTGGTATGGAGCTATTGGTGTAAGTTACAGATGTGCTACTGCCATGTCACTAAGAAAACTCCCTATTAAGAATAGTGTCCTACATACATGAGGTTCTAATTAAGGAACAGAAGAATTCTATGCTAGAACTAAATGAAATGTTAATACAAAGAGTCTTGAATATTGTCTGTTCCCTCTACAAAAATCCACACATTTTAAAAGATTTACTAATGGAACTGCTTTCACAAGAAAGAGGTAAGCAAAGATGATTGCTTCCTATCATTGAAAACCAAGCCAAAACAACCTACCTTCAAAACAATAAAACAAAACAAAACAAAACAAAACAGAACAAATCACACACATACACACTAACTTGTGAAATGAACATAAAAATCAAGAAACATTAGTGAAGACATGTTAGGGAATTACTGACATTATGTCTCTAGTGGTTCAAAAGACTTTCATATATTTTTTCAAAAAGGAAATGCTTAAAAAAAATAAACAATGGCACTTCTGACTTATAAGCACTTATGACAAAGAGCTGTCAGCAATTTGCTGTGTCACATGGAACAGGCAGCTGGAAGACAGCCTCCTGTGCCCTCCACTTACATCAGAGGTTCCAGAGATTTGGGCTTAATGAAGATGGCAATGGGATAGAGCTGGGCAACTTGTAACCGCTTGATAGCATTTCCTGACACGTCAAGTATACAGTGTTTGCCCTGGTAGAAAGAGAAGAAAAATATGGAGTTAATCCAGAAAGAATGATCATAACGCAACCAAAACAAACAAACAAAAGCAAAACAAAAAAAGTAAGCATGTTTTAGAGGAAGGTAAGGGATACTGAATTTCTAAAGGTTGGAAAAGTATCATTGCAAAGCATAAATAAAGGTGGATATTCAGGGTCATCCCTGAATGCTTTTGATAACTCATATTTATTACTCCCTTACTAAGGGCCTGCTACTGGGATGGAGATTTTACGTTAGCTTAATTTTCTTAAGTAAATACCTGACGTTTTGCACAAAGATACATAGCCTTATATGATATGATTGGGTCCACATTCATGAAGCTCTCAAAAAACATCTCTGAAGACAACTGTCAACAAGAAATCCCCAAATCTATGAGGTAGGTATTATAAGCCACAATGTATGGAAGATAAGACTAAGACTTAGAAATAATAAGTAACTTGCTCAAAGTCTCAGTGTTAGAAGAACTCAAACTCAAGTCTTGAGCACTGACAGTATCATTGGCTGGAATAAATAGAAACCTCATTGTCTCACCCTGACCAATGTTAAATCTGGAGGAATGACGTGAATCACGTGAATTTGGACCAATTTCATAAACATTTGCTGAGTGCTTATATGTATCCTGCCCTGGATATGCTCAGTCTAGTATAGCTCAGGACAGACACAAAAAGAGTTACCTTCAATATTACATCTTAAGTGCTGAGAGTATGCGCAGTGAATGTAAATTTCTTGTTTGTTAAATGAAAACTCTATTACATATAGCACACCTCATTTAACTTGGCTTCTACTGCAATGAGTGCTCAGAGCAAGGAGCTGCTTTGTGAAGTATTTTAGGAAAAGTAGCTACATTTGGCAAACATCATATTCTAACTCCCGGAGAGAGATGGCCTCATTACCCTGAGGCCAGAAGAACTTTAGAAGAGAAAAAGCATATTGTACAGATAGTAACAGTCCTAAATCAATAATAGAGGATTAAAAACTTCCTTTAATACCCGTGTGAAAACAAAGAGACTCCAGCGCATACTTGAACCAACTAAGATGGTTCAAGCCCTATATCACTTAAGTAATAAATTCCAAGCTTGCTCTCTGTGAAATGTAACAGCTAATCAAAATGTCTAAATGCTGTTTGATTATTCACTGGCCAGAACGTTTCAAGTTAACAAAGGTTGTATTTACATGTTCAAAGGAGAGAATAGATGCAATCATCCAGGAAACTGATTAGAAACAATATGATATAGCTCATAGATATATATAGCTAATTTTTGAGGGAGAGCGAGAGATGCAGCTTATTGTATTCTCAGGTAGACATTAAAATTTCTTTAACTTTTTACCAGCACATCAAAAGGTTATGTCAAGTCACATCAAATCAACCCAATAAATATTAATTATATAACAAATATGATTGACTCTTAACTCTTTTCTTTTCTCCCATGAAGTTGGGTCCTCTGTGTTGACAGGAGACTAGGATCTCTCTATAGGCAGATCTTAGAGGCACACCCAAGAGCCTTCCTATCCTGTTCTCTCTTGAACATTTTCTTCTTTTCTGTGCCCTTGAAATGATCGATGGGAAGGGAATGGCAGTATTCACACCTCCTCTAAGTTGGAATTTCTGCCAGCTATAAGCTAGGCCCTAGCCCTCTTCATCTGGCTACCCCTCACTATAAGGGTCCCAAGTTTTCAGGGAAATAAAATGTAACTCCTGCTAATAAAAAGAACCGAGGATGCTGACTTAACCAAGAGTAATAAAGCTTCCTTAATAAATTCAATGTTGTTTACTGGGGCCAAAGATAAGTGAGTCAAGGACAAAGTGAATCTCTATAAACTTCAAGCTGTTAATTGCCTTTAGGTTTATAACCCCCTTCTCCCCACAAGTCAGACAGCATGCTTTATTGAGATTAGAACAAAGATTAATGACCTTGCTCTAAAGTCATTCTCTGCTTGGAAGTCTTAAAAGGAATAATCAAAATTTACAACTGCAATCAAGAGAGAGTGGGGACCAAAAATGCAGCTTGCCACCTGGGAACCTTCTTTAGAGGAGGTATAAGATGATTGGTGGACGTACCCTTTCTGCTACAAATCTCACAGACTGCACACTGGTTCCATATAAGTTGTCATTGTACTGGCCAGCTTCTATAAACTTGTGCTCTTGGATATCTTTCTCCATTTGTTCTCTGGAAATGACAAAGTGATAGTCTCTGCCATCCACCTCATAGTCACGCTTTGGCCTCGTAGTATCTTTATAAGACAAAAATAATACAATTAAGGTAATTTATATTCATAAATGTCCTTTACACCCATTTTCTTCACCATACCCTCAACATAGATATACAAAAATATGTAATATGGGGGACCATGACATAGTGACAGGTACCAGTCAGCTTCCCATGGTAAGCAACTATAAAACTAGACAAAGTGTAGGGAACAGCTGCTGTCACACATCAGATGACCAGCAGCACAGGGCTGTGATTTTGAGAACGGAGAAACACATGATGGGAACTCTATATTCACTCTACTTCCATTTACAACTGGAGGGTGTAAAGGTTTTTTAGTGCTAAGAGACACTAGAGTTCAGTTAGAACTGTGCATTTGGTTGAGTACCTGGAAAGGCTACAATTTAACATTTTATTTTATTTTGTCTTATTTTGTTTTATTTAGAGAGTGAGGTGGTAGGGAGGAGCAAGTTCCACATCCAGCATGGAGCCCGATGTGGGGCTGGGTTTCATGACCCGAGATCATGACCTGAGCCAAAATTCAAGACACTTAACCAACTGAGTGGAAAGGCTATAATTTAGAAGGTTACTCTAGATTTATTCTAGACCCACCTTCACAAAGTGTAAAACCAAGTCATAATTGAAGAAGCTGATTTGCCGGTAAGTTATTATCAGCCAGAACAAAAACATAATATCCTATAAATAAAGATAACTAAATCCAGACTCTCAATAACATAGTGTCACAATGTCCAGGACACAATAAAAGATTACAGGAGAAGCAAAAAAGCAAGAAAATGTGTCATATAAATAGGAGGAAAAAAATGGACAAACAGTAAAAATTTATTTTGGGATGTGAAAGATGTAAAATGAGATCACCACAGTTAAGGTGGACTAAAAGTCATCAACTCTAACCATAGTTAGAGGTGATTAAATTTCTTAGTAAGGACAAGGGAAAACAATCCTCTCAGTATAAATAAAAGATGTTAAAATATTTTCAATCTTTGACTCAGATATTCTCTTCCTAATCTATCTCAAAAAATTATCAAAGCTTCAATTAGTTTTACCCTTAAAGATGTTCATTATATTTATTTATAAATTATAAATAATTATAACATAATTATAATTATACCTTAATTATATTTCATAATAGTGAAAAGGAGAGACAACCCAAAATACCCATAAATGAGGAATGATTATGATGTAATAATTATTTAAAATATTACCATAAAATTTTAAATAATGTTAAGCCAAAAATATGTATATATCCAACATGCACCCAAACAAAGGAGAAAATATGTGTATAGAAAGAAGGAATAGGTGAAAATCTATGAAAATATTAACAATAATGTTATCTCTGGATACTCTGTGGAAATCTGTATGCTTTAAATTTTCTCGTTTAACTTTCTTTTTAGCATTTTCCAGGTTTTGTACAATGAATATATATTATCATTAAATTGTGTTATTACACTATTTATTTAAAACTAAAGAAAGAGTGTAAGGTGGAGGGAAATTGGAAATGATAATTAAGGACTGTCTCGGTTTTTTTCTTTCCAAAATGGAGGAACACACTGGAGGCTAAATGGAGTAGGATTTGACTGAACATTTCTGTCTGGAGTCTTTCTCAAGATAGGCTGTATGGCAGGATCTGAGTCCTTGCTGGGAACAGTTTCATGAGATATAATTCCCTTCTGTCTCCATACTTGCACACACATGACTCCTACTATTCTTAGGTATTCTGGGTAACATCTGCAGTGCTGAAATGTAAGAGACACTTTAAAGCACAAAGCTTAAAAAGCGTATAATAAGAAAAATATTTTTTGGGATCAGATTTAAGAGCTCAGTTATCTAATAAACTGAAATTCCCTGTGGAAGGGGGGCGGTCTGTTTAAACACACTCACACATACTGCCACACATACAGAGAAGCAGAAGTCCAATACACATTTTTATGTAATGCAATGAGTAGGGGGTGAATGGGAAAGTGTGGTGTGCATGGGAGATAGAGCAGATAGACTCTTATGGGGCTACACTCCGAGGGACCAAGAGATCCGATGATTGTCCATGAGGACAAGAAAGCAGATTAAAGTCTGTGATGGCCTAGAAGGTAGATTAAAGTTTTATATGCTTTCTTGTCTTCATCTGCTCAAATCCTAGCACTTGGAAATTACCCATGGAAAAGGCTGTTTTGTTTTGTGATTGACACATGGCCCTAAGTCATCCTGAGATGATTTTAATACGTGGCTTTGTTTCTGGTCTCTCTTATTCTATGGGAAAAGATGCTTCAGTGACATTTCAATCAATTTATAAAGAAATATTAATGCCTATCAACAATTCTATGCTATTTAAAGGCTATGGGAGTTAAAGAGAAAGGATTCATTCTGCTTTCTGGGGTACCACAGTCAGTTTGGAGAACTTATTATACTCTACTAAATAAGGAACAATACATGGCAGCACTGATGAAAAGTCTTAAGCAGAGAAAATTAAATAAAATGCTCAGATTGAAAAAAAAAGATGTTTAGATAATAGATAACTGATAGTATCTGAATCACTGGAGAGATCATTGGAGGAACAGAATTATATTTTATCATCTTGAAAGGAGGGGGTCCTTTCTTTTAGCAAAAAGAGACACAATACTTACGAGGCACACAGGAGCCAAATTTGTCAGGGAATTCAGATATCAAGTCGTCATTGATCCGATCCTTCATGGGGCCCAGGATAATTACTGGCCGGGTATAGTTTACTGCAGAGAGGGAACGGAAGAGGCAAATGAGGAGAAAGACTTGGTCAAGACTGCACAACTGCCCTACATGGGTGAATCTGAAGGCAATACTGCCAAACAGAACTGCTGAGGGTGTTACTTCATTGGATAAGTTGCCCATACAGCCTTGTAGGAGAACACTCGATATGTTGGCTGTGTTTATTTTCTGGAATTTACCAATAGGGAAAAGCAACTGCAGTGTCTATTGATGAAAAGAAACATTTGGAGGGGGTTTTGCTTACTCTTATGTTATGCCTACACAATGTCAAAACAACTACTGAATTTAGTCAATTGAGTGGGAGAAAAAAGATTCCAAAGCAGCTGTTTGGCCATTGTTTAGATAATGACTTTAAGAAGTAATTGTTAGTATAATGACACCTTATGTTTTTATATCTTTCCCTCAGCTCAAAATGCTGTCTATTCTCTGCTGGGGTTTTTCCGATTCTTTTGTAACATGAGTTTAGAAGGAACTCTAAAGTCCGTTTGGTACAACTCCTCCTCTGATGCTTGAATTTTCTCTGCAATGTCCTTGTCAATAGCCATTAGTGTCTATATAAATGCCTCCCAGAAAAAGATGCAGGCTTCTGGAGCAGCTCAGGGGGTGGCTTGTATTTTAGGACAGGTGTGCTAGAGAGCCTTTCTCAATACTGAGCTGACAAGAATCTCCCAGGAGATTTTATGCGTTTGTCCTGGAGGTGGGGCTTTTTAGTGATTCTTTCCACTTAGGACCACTTATCTGGAGGGCTGCTGGGACATCTCCTGGGAGCTGTCACTGCCCATACCTAGCAGGGAAGTTGTTCATGCCAAAGAGTCTGGTCTGGGGACAAGTGAGTATTAAGCAGATTTATAGTCTTTAGTTCTTCACTCTTTGGCTCCTATAATGGTGTCACCTGATATGGCCTGGAAATCAGGAACCAGAGCATGCTGGGAAACTTACTTTCCTGCCTTGTGACAGGCTCATAAGAAAGAATGAAGTCTTCTTGCCCTCCTGAGAAGAGAAGAAAGGAGAATGACAGTGAACTAACAACCAGTCATATACCACATATCACAGCTACAAGCCCTGTTCTGAAGCACAGGAAACAGACACAGTTCAGGGTTCATTTTCCTTGCCCTCTCTCCTTGAGCCATTCCAAAAATCTCTTCATCCTCATAAAACTCTTTAGCACTGTTATGGTATCAGGTTCTCAATGGTCATAACTGTCAGTAATGCCTGGAGACTAGTTACCTGCAGTTCAGCAGGACAGTGACCTATGAGAATGCCTTCTGTCTGACACTGAGAAGTGGAGCCCCTATTACTTATAGTTAAAATGAAACCATTCAGTACAAGCAGAGGGTCCTTCCAGTAGTTTGCTGCCACATTATCAGAATTTCTGGGTCTTTTATTTCACTTTCTCTTTTATTTTCCAAAGAAGCACATTGTTCAAAAACAAGTGTCTGGTTGGTTCATTTATGTCACAAAATCTTCATCAGCATATACCACAGGACACTGAAGATTTTATTCTAATGTTAATTCATCAGGAAAACGCTGGGTCGGTTCAAGAAGATAAAAAAAAAATTGAGGAGGACCCTAAATCTCTGATTAGAATTGCTACTAAATCTAGCCTTAAAACTCTGGGAAGGGAACTAAAGAAGACAATGTAGTAAAAGTCAGCTTTGCCAACGACATTTACTACAAGTCTTCTGATTGACAGTGGGCCTCTGGTCAACAAATAACCATAGAAAGTTAATTGGTTTTAGGCAATTATTTTTTTCAAACATCTATTTTACCCAGTTGATGGACTGGGTACAAGATTAGCCTGATTCAGCTGTGAACCCAGAGGATATACTCTTTTTGCATTCGGCCCAGGACTGACTGTGTTTTGGTAGGGAAGTAGTTTAGGGGTATTGGAAAGGACTCCTGTATGCTGTTATACAGAGGAGTGTCATAGGTGGTAGTATTTCCTGAAACCAAAGGGCAATGCAACTCATTGCTTTATCTACCCAACCCCTTGAAACACATTCCATCTGTCAATGTGCTCCTCCTTTAACAGACACAGCACCAGAAAAGGTGAGTTAATTTCATAAAAGGAGTTAATACAATGAACAGTTCTGATGATGACGACTAATTTGGGGGAAATTAGGAAATATATGGAAAACTTGTGAAGTACAGATGACTTCCTTGGAGACCAGGTAGCTGGGATGGGGTAGGGTGAGATTGTCTTACTTTTTCAAGTGTGAGAAATGGTGCCGGGCCCAAGTCACATCTTTCTTCATCCTTAAGCAGGTTTACTCTGAGAAACCCTGCTAGGCTAAGCTATTTCCTCACGGCATGGAGAATGCGCCTTGAAGGTCTTTCTCAGTGACATCTACTCATGGCTGCTCCAAGAAAGTTCATGGGTTTTTCCACATCTGGGCAGGGGTTTGATATGTGAGGAGTCAGATTCACTTTTTTCTTTTTTAAATTCAGGAAGATATGATTCCCTTTTAATAAACTAAATAGCTGAAATTTACAGAGTCTAGGTCAAAAAATAATGAAGGTGATTGATTGCTGATCTGCAGTACCTAAAGCCTGAGATATGTAGAGGTCAGAGGAACTCAGAAGGTAAGTGTAAAAATGCTTGGGGACAAAGTACAGCTTTAGGGCTTGAAATATGGCAGACTAGTACTGCAGTGTTTGACTGTAACATCACAGGGAAATCTTTATGGATTGACCAATAATATGTGAGAGGAGAATCCTGAGGATAGGATAACGAAGGTTTTAAACATCAGGGGATACTTATGCCTCTCTACTAGACTGGGAACTCCATAAAGGCAAAGATTGGGTTTCACTTACCATGGCATACCCAGTGCTTAACATAGAGAAAAATGTCAATGAATTTGCATTCTGATTTTAGTGGTAGGAAATGGGATGAGTAATGAGGCCAAAGATAGGTTTTTCTTTGTGTTTCGGTCTGTATGCTTTCGCTTTGGGAAGTGTGGTTTTCTCTAAATAAATATAACACGTCATGTTCCCATAGGAATCTTTTCCCAATGTCCTTACAAATTATTCTGATGGGATATTCTAACGGCAAACCTTAAATAAGATACTTGGTGACAGTATGTTTCATTTGTGATTCAGAAAACTAGGACAAAGCAACATAGCTTTGACTAACTTTGTTAGAGAGTTCTGCAGTTCTTTTGTTTATGCATTGCTTTTGGGTTTACTTTCTGACTTACAAAAGGCACTGGTTCTTGATCAGAGCAGGAAGACTGCAGATCTCAGTGGAAGCATCCTTCTGTCCAGGCCCATCCCACTTCTAAAGACCCTGTGACAGTCAGCTACTATGTTAGGAAGCCTGCAGGGGAGTTGTGGTAGATGAGATTATGTCATAGCTGTGATCTCAGCACCTTAAACCAATTTTTACTTTCATGTTCAGAAATGAAAAGTCCTATGGGTAATGTGAAGGAGACTAAGAGGAGAAGGAAAAAAAGTTACAGCAATGAAGGAAAGATAATTCATGCCTGTATGGCCATAAAGGGCTTTCACATCCATTGCTTTCTATTTTTCAGTCATTTCTGTTGAGGTAGGCGCTCTGATGATCCCCACTTTACAGATGAAGAGGTTGAGGCTCAGAGATGTCAATGGAGCTTGTTTACTCAGGAAGTAGTGGAGTCAAAATTTAAAACCATATTTTTTTGACTCCTTACTGAGTAAATGGCAAGAGATAGAGACTTTTCTGATGGGGCTGGGATATAGGGGCAGACCTTACAAATGAACAAAGCATGGGTGGCAGAGATAGGAGCTGAACCCAGGGCAGAGTCACTGGGAGGCCAGAAGGTGTTCCATCTGTAAACACCAACTGTTTTTTTTTTTTTTTTTTCAATTTTTAATGCTGCTGTGTCATCTCCATACAATAGTCATCCTTAGTAGTTTTTCTATTTTTTGATCAGGAGGTGTTGGCACTTAGAAATAACAGCTGACAAAAAGGTACAAACTATTACTTGGTCTTGTTTTGGCAAATGCATGGCTGGAAGTGGGAGAGCAGCACAGTGCTGGGTGCAGACAGCTGCAGCTGTGGGAGAGTGAGCAGAGGCCTCTGTTAACAGTCTCTATGAGACTCTAAACTGGAAGCAAGTCACAGTAAAAGGGACTCAGAGGGAGACCCTCATATGTCCTCATGATAGAGAACAGCAACTTGGTGTTCTTTAGGAATTTTTGGAAACTAGAAAAGAGAGGGGAGGGATGGGAAGCCCAGTGGTAGTATATTTAATGTTCTAAGTTTAGTGTTCAGTGCCTGCATTTGATGATTATTAAGAATAAATTAGGTTTTTAGAAGCACAGAATGTTAGCTCTAAGAAAGGGCTTAGAGCTCATGGGGTTCATAGATGGCAAATATGTAGCATATAGGGTCACTCCCCCATTCCATGCCCTTGGAAGGCACTACAGATTGATCATTGCCCACATTACTGCTGGGCCTTAGCCTGGCCTTAATGCTTCTCAATACAGTTCTTCTGGCAGCTATTACCCGTTGATCAGAGTTGGGATCTTGGTTAAAATCTGCTTACTGTCTGTGTTCTAACTCAAGCTACTCAATTTACATAGGAGAGGACTAAGGTACCAAGATGGTGAGTGATTTCTTCAAGGTCACATAGTGAACTTGTGTTTCAGTGTCTCGATGGATGTTCAGAAGATTCAGTTTAATGTTCATAGAACTCTTAAAACTGGGCTTAGTGCACAGTTAATGCTATATAGATGTTTCTGCTTGTATTAATTTGACAGGTGGTATGGAATAGTTGAAATGTACTGGATAAAACACAAGGAAGCTGAGATTTCACACTGTATGGAAGGGTGACAATGTATGGAATTCAGAAGCAAAATATCTCAATTGGTCTTACAGAGTGCCACCATATTATGCAGTCTCTTGGAGCTTTAGTATCCTCATCTGTAAAATGGAGTGTTAATGTGAGACATATCTCACAGTCTTGTTGCAGAAATCAAATAAGAAAAAGATAATGAAAAATTGCTTTATAAAAGCTAAAGAACTAGAGGAAATACAAGTGCAATACTTGAAGACAGCAGAGAAAGGAGAAGAATATGGGCATTATTTTGATAAATTCCAGTGGAAAAATTTTGGGTCTCCTCATATCAGCACTCCATTCCACTCAAATCGTTTCTTCAATGTCCATGTTTTGAAACTCTCACTTAACTGATGAACCCCAATAGGTTAGAAAGATAATCATCAGTTCTCCTGTACCCATCATGATATAAAGAACTTTGTGAGCTTTGAGGAAGGCAGGACTCAGCTGTAGAGATTTGCTATTTCCACCATGACTACCTGTTTTTTACTGTGTCCTAATGCAAGGACGTCTGAAAGCTAAGATACAAAAACAACCACAAATACAAGCCTATACTGTACTACTTTGTTGACAGAGAGAAATCTGGAATTAGTCCCTAATGAAGATCGTTTTTGAGGGGGTATTTTGCATAATTATACAACGTGCACTGTAATTAACTGCATTTTTAGCTAGTGCTCAATACAGTTGGACTTTGAAAAATTCTATTTTATAATGCTTGAGATGGTGCGGGAAAGGTCTGGGCTGTTTATTAGAAACTGAGGTCTGTGAAAGTATGTGTGTGTGGTGTGTGTGTGTGTGTGTGTGTGTGTGTGTGTGTATCTCAGGAAATGTATGAGGTTTTCAGTTAAGGTTGTCACAACATGTAATTCTAGGATGTAGTGTGAATTGTGTCTCTGGAGCTTTCAGACATGGGGGTCTGGGACTTAGTTTCTAACCAATGACCATTTATTTAAGCATGTGTCCCAGAGTGGACATGGAATCATTCTAAGAGTAAAAAATAACACTTAGACGTTAGTAGAAAAAGGGTCTTTTTAGCACTTATTTATACACAAAACATAAAAGTCATAATTACAGCAAAACCCAGGAATTCAATAGAAAAATGCAGCCTGTGTTGATTTCAAAATGGCAATTTTCTGGAAAGCAGGTGTGTTTCAAGTCTCTGTGTCTTTTCTT